TGGGCAATCCTACTTCCGTAGTGATACTGCCTCGGAAACCCAAGGAGGGGTCGCTATGAGTCGGGGCCGACTCGACGGCACATAACAACAACAACATTACTGTTATGCCATTATGGTTTAGACATTTTATAGATTAAACTCTATGATGAGTTTTTCAGCCTCAGCTCTATTGACATTTTGGGCCAGAGGGGCTGTCCTGTGCATTGTAGGATGTTAAATTAGCATCCCATGACCCTACCCACTAAATGCCAGTCGCACCCCTCTGATTGTGGCATTCAAAAATATCTCCAGACATTGCCTACTATCTCCTGGTGGGCAAATTTGCCCTTGTTTGGGGACCACTGTGTAGATTTATGAATGTCAGGAGGAGGATACCCACATTAGTTGAAATCCTAAAACACCAAATCCATTGCTGTTGAGTCAATTTCCCCTCATAGCAACCCTGTAGAACAGAATAGAACTGCCCTATAGGGTTTCCAAGACTGTAATTTATGCATAAGCATACTGCCATATGATTTGAACTGCTGACCTTTTGGTGAACAGCCGAGTGCTTAACCACTGTGCAATCAGAACTCCTTCATTTTACTCTTGCTCATTGACCATTTAATATTGTAGTTTGGTACAAATACATAATCTAACTAGCTCTGTCTTGCTTTGCTCTAAAATGAACTTTTTGATAATTTTTTTTTTCAAGTGAGTGACAACTTTTGTTCAAATACTTCATGAATGTGTCAATGTGTATGGGGCTTCTTTTTTTTAGTGCTTTATATGTGTGTGTATATATATATATATATATAGAGAGAGAGAGAGGTCAACACAATCTGAGTTATAAACAGAAGCTGTCAAGTTGAGAAGAGTTCTAGAATACAGAGAGAAAAAAGCTAAGCTAATTGGTATGGTAAATTTAAGATAGCTTCAAGTTCTTTGACACTTATCTCATCCCAATGGGATCTATATCTTTTCTCTTTTAATCTGAGTGAGCTTTTTTTCTGACTGCTTGACCAATAGCATACAGTTGAAATAATCCTGTGCAACTTCTGAATTTCAAGAGATTGTTAGCTTTCAACTTCTGTCTCTTTGAATACTCATAGGAAACAAGCCACCATGCTATGCCACCAAGTGGACTCATGGGAGAAGTCCAGGTGGACAACTGAGGCTTTGGTCAATAACCAGCACCAGTCTGCCAGCTATGTAAGTGAGCCATCTTTGAAGTGAATCCTCCAGCTACAGTTGAACTTACTCCACTACAGGGAGCAGAACCACAGAATTGAGCCTGTATGGGGTTTCCTTCTTCTTCTTCTTCTTCTTTTTATTAAAATTTTACTGTGATTTGGGTGAACGTTTATAGAGCAAATTCATCTTCCACACAGCAGTTCATGTACACTTTGTCTCATGATATTGACTGCAATCTCCCACAATGCAACAGCTCTTCTCTCACTTGCTCCCGATAGCCACCTCTTCCCTGTGTCTTTCCCTCCCATGCACTCCTCCTGCCCCTCGAGCTGCCTCCCCGTGCGTACATAGCCCTTTTATTCCCTCATGATTGATCTCTCCAAGAAGTGTATCTACCTAATATACATGTTCAGCTCATATGCCTGTCTTTTGTTTGGCTGCAAGCCACAGGAGTAAGTTCAGTTCTAGACCTGAAGGGCAGCTAGGGGTCATAGTCTCAGAGGTTCTACCAGGTTCTATCTGACCACCAAACCTGGTCCTGATTTTTTTAAATTTTTTCAATGATTTTGAGTTTTGTTCCACATTGTTCTCCCACTCTATCCAGGATCTCCTACATAGATCCCCCTGTGAGTGGTTGACAGTGGTAGGTGGGCCACATCTAGTTCTTTTGGTCTCATAGTTACATAGGCTGAGGATCACAAGGTGTACCAATCTCTTGGACTAATTGTTTCCATGCGTCTTTGGTTTTCTCCATTCTTCTTTGTTCTGGACAAGGAGAGACCCATTGGTGCATCTAGATGGCTGCTTGCAAGCTTTTAAGATCTCGGTCACTACTCACCAAAGTAGGATGTGGAACAATGTTTTTGTATAGTATGTTATACCAATTGATATCCCCTGTGACTATGGTCCTGAGCCCACAGGTCCAACCACTCGTCTCTGGTCAGCTGGCTGTG